CTCATCCCGCCGCGCTCATCCCGCTCATCCCGCTCCTCCCGCTCCCGGCCCCGGCCGCGGCTCGGGCGCGGGAGGGCAGAGCCGAAGAAACCGGCTCTCTAAAAAGAGCTTGTTTCGAGCAAGGGAGCTGTCGCGGGAGTGCCCCCGTTAACGCTGCAAACTCGTAGCTGCACAAATTAGACAAAACTTTGGTTTAAAAGCTCGAAAACGTAACAAATTCGTTCTCCTGAACCAGCAAGTGAAGGTTTTGTATTAGACAGAAATAGATCACTTTGAGTCTACAGAAAACCAAAGGCAATTAATTCTCTTCAACAGCTTTTGTCTTCTACATTATTYGAAGAGAATAAAAATATAGACTTCTAGAGTGAGCCATGTCACACTCGTGAGCTTCTCGTAGCATCGGGCATGTTCAAGTCTCGTTCGTTAGCAGTAACACTGCTTTTCACTGACCCATGTGAGATCTGCAACGTTATTCTGCATTTCAAGAAATTCTATATTTCTGCCTTCCCCATCCCTACAGATGAACCGTGTCAGAAAGAAGTAACTTGAGGCAAAATGGCAAACATCACACACTGAGCATGTTTTAGGAAGGCTCTTGTTAAAAAGAATGGTTTTGATCCTGGTGGGGCTGTACTTCTGCTCTGCTTGCACAGAATTCAGCACAAATTCATCAGCATATGCACTGCAATGGTATCAGAAAGACCCAACTGTTTTATGTGAAATTGCTGCAGGGGGATGTTACATTTAGTGTTAGTTCTGTTCAAAGACCTGTTCAAGCACCCTTGAGATGCTTTATGTTTTTCAAGCTGTGATCCCAGAAGCTGGAATTTGACAGCACCGCTCAGTGTCCGGATCCCACGTGTTGCGGTCACAGAAAGGGACCTGGAGCAGCTCCCAGGTCATGCCCCCCACACAAGCATCTCCGCAGCGACACGTAGGTGTGGAGGGCAGGAGGACACCGCACACTGCAGCCCACTTGGGCTCCCCATTGGGAGCGAGGGGCCTGTGTGTCCCCGGCCCCCGATCTGTGCCGGAGGAGCCCTTGGGGGTCGGCCCGGCCAGGGGCGCGCAGCCCTTCCAACCCGTGGGACTCTCGGCTGCTCAGCTTGCAGGGCAGCCTTTGGAGAAGGAAGCAGTGGGGTTGTGTGTCAAGATAGGGATATCGGAGGATGWAAATCGGTAACAAGGGAGAGGAGCCCTGTACTACAGCAACCGGGAGCAAACCGCAAGGGAAAGAACATCCCCCTCTTAGCAAAGAGTAGAGCAGTCACCGGAGATAAGCACRTGAGCAGGGAACGGGCTGCTTGGAGCCCAGCTCTCATTTTGCCTCCAGAAGTTGTGAGCTGAGTGCCTGTCAGTCACTCCTGGTTTTTGGTGCTGTGGGTCGTGGTTATCAGCTCCCTAACCTATTGCTGACTCTCTTTGCGACTGATGGATACAGATATACCAGGGCTTCCCTCTACCTTCCCAAATGTTTATCACCAGAGGCTGTCTCATCTCCAGCCTTCCTGCTGCTTCTCATTTTCTCTCTTCAATTTATGTAACAGGATCAAGCCACTGCTCTCTCTCCATCTTTCTTGCCTTGCCTTTCCCTAACTTCCTTTCTTTCCCGCAGGCAATTACAGAGCTTAACTTTCCTGAAAGAACAGGGCACCGGTGGCAAGAGGGATAAAACTCACCTGATACAAAACTGCAATCCCTTTTTTCCCCTTTCACTCTTTCCCTCTTCATCTTTACTAATTATATTGTGGGATTCTCCTCAGGTCTATTATTTTAAATCGACTTTTAATCCCCAGGATTAAAGTGCACAGACAAGGGTGCTCTGTGCATCCCTGCTGGGGTTGCTGCCGCCCTCGCCCTGCTCACGCTCAGCACGGCCCGAAGCCGCCGGCACCGGCGGCTTCGGGCCGTGCTGAGCGTGAGCAGGGCGAGGGCGGCAGCAACCCCAGCAGTTCTCAGGCCACAGATCCCGCAGTCCCTCCCCTTCCACAGCCCCCCGCTCCAGCTCCRAGGGCTTCACCGACTGCAGCAGCCGCAGTGCAGCGTAAATGGAAAGCTCCCGCTTAAGCGGGCTGCAATACAAAGGCATGTAAAGGTTGAACAGCTTCATTTCATTAAAACCTGCTGGAGACCGTCCCTGGCTTTAAACCCTCCTGCAGGGCCGTGCCAGCGCGTTTAGGCGCTTTCTGCRAGCCTCCGTTTGGACTGATCTCAACACGTGGATTGCTGTGAAAAAGTCTGCATTGGGCAGGAAAAAAATCGCCTTCTTCCAACTAAATGCTGATGAAGAAAGACCCGTGGGCTCTCTGGCAATGCTGAAGCAACGAGGGCTTCTTACACCCAGGCAGCGAGAAGGAAGGTTTTTTTGTTGGAAGGAGCAATTTTGTGCCCTTGCTACCGAAAAGCAAGCAGTGCCATAACCACCCAGCATCAGGCTGCAAACCGGGACGGGGGGCTAAATAACGCACACATACAGAAAAACACACATAACAGAAGGATAAGACTTTGGGAATGCGAGTTTTCACACCCCAGATACCACATTCTCCCTCTCAGGACTGACATTTGTTGCAAGGCTCCTACTACAGCACCTCTCAAGGCGCTTGCTCCCAGCCTCGCGTGTGCACCACAGTTCCCACCAGGAGCACAGGGCATTTCCCATGGCTTGCCCGCTCAGCCCCTTCCTGGCACGGCCTTGGGCCAGGCCCAGCTCCGGTGTCCGCCCGGGCCCCGCTGTGTGCTCAGGAGGGGCCAGCTCTGCCGCGCTGCCAGGGGAGCGCGCGCGGCCAGGCCCGCGTGCAGCTCCGCTCTTTTGCCCCGGTACAGTGACACGGATGACAGAAAGCACACGGGGGAAAAGGGTCTCACACGGCTAACAAGGGCATCAAACACTGTTTTAAACGATGGCCCCCCGAAAGAGAACGGTGAAGGCTTGCCCCAAGCACGCCTACTGGGAAGGCAGCGTTGCGCGGGGCCCAGCAGCACACGCGAGCGGAGCGCTGTGCCRGGCCGCAGGGGCCGCCAAGCCCGGGACCCCTTCACACTTACCACATGTCCTTTTCCATCACCTTGGTATGCAGGAATTCCTGGGGGGATGCAGCAAAGCTTGGGGCCGGTGTTTTATTTAGATGTTTAGATAGAAGTAAGGGGTCACTTCCCCATGGGCACACGGGCTCCACAGGCGAGCACACRCGGAGGAGCCTGTCTGCATCACACGGCGGACCCGGGGGGACACAGGGCTACATGGAATTGCATTAACGGCTGCTCTCCAAAAATTCAGAGGGAWAACACAGCTGCCACTCAATGCTCACATAAAAGACATAAACCACCATTACCGGCCTTGCCACCTGGAAGGTGATCCTCACCTGGAAGGTTATCCTCAGGAGCTTTTACGGCATTTGTTTTTCTCATCAACACTTCTCCATCGAGGAAAGGAATACAAGAGCGCAGCCAAAAATAATAATGTGCAACTCATTTAATAACATAGTAAAACAAGAAACTCACTCTTTCAAAACGTGACTAATCAACAAGTTTCTTGAACCACRGAGAAACATGGGAACCAGTGCACCAAAGTCTTCAAAAAGCACAAGTGCAAAAGCAAAACACATGACATGTCAAAGATTGTTTTATATGAAGGTCTGTTTCTGCAAACGAAAAAAAAGATCAGAAACTACTATTGTGCTCATAAAGTTTAATTAAAACAATCACAGATACCAAACTTTCCCTGAGAAATAAGGATCAGCAACAGTTTTTGACAGGCCATTTTTTCCCGTCACAGTGCAGAGCTGTACAAGCACCTTCTCTCAATCTAAAACCCACACAGTAGCAGCACAGTTTGTATTCACTCTGCTCGTCTTCTGGACACCCTCATTTTTCAACACAGTGAAGTCTGGAGTCAGCCGCCCTCAGCATGGAAGGAGACGAGGACAGGACAGGGAGAGAAGGAGCCAGGAAAGGTTTAATTACCGTGTTGGACGTGTTGCCAGGAATGGTGATTGCTTTTATCCCTTTTTCTAAATTTATTTTCTTTTTCCAAACTGATTAACTACAGCAGCATTCTGGAAATGTCTTTCCCCCAGGACAAATACACAAACAAATTTCATACCTGTCACCCACACTGCCCATCCACTCAACAAGGAGCTTGTGTTCTAAGCAGGAAGSGGAGACAGGTTGGAAAACAGGAGTGGTTATTAAGGCTGGATTATATTTTACGGCCCGTGGCACCAGTGCAGGCTTCACAGTTCCATCCCTCCTTAGCACACAGCTAAGGTGAGCTCAGCATCTGGGAACTGGTGACCCACGCTCATGGATAAAACGCCCCTTTTTCAGTTCATCTCAGGAGGACAGCAGTCTTGTGGCACTCCATGCTGATCCAGGAACCATAAGAATCTCTCAGGATCCAAACTCCTGTGGTGRAAGACAGCTTCTTTCTTACCCTATCATCTTATCCATCCATCCGTCCGTCCACCCACCCACGCATCCATCCCCTCCCAGGCTCTCCCTCTCTCCACGACAGCAGTTTTTCTCACCCTGCAGAGCCGCTCGCCCTCGCTCTGCTGGGCTCGCTCTCCCTCCATGCCCAGCCCGCAGCACATTTTCCACCAACAGGGTAGCTTTCTGCATGACTTCATCAAGTGTTTTACTCAAGAGGAGCCAAATTAAAGCAAAAAAAAATCTTCACCGCCTTCGTGAGGCAGCAATCAGAAAGGCCAAAGGAATCAACTGGCTATAAAGTATGACATTTACTGTCTATCAAGAGTATCTGTCATATTGCACAAGACAATAATGCAACGTGAGTCACAGCAAAGCTTATCAATACTAATCTGAGTGATACAAGCCTTGTTGCCATTACAGTATCTTCCAGGAAGAAGACACTTTTTAATTATTATATTTATTTTTTTACAGTGACAATTATCTAAAAATAAACTGCCAGTTACTTTTATTCTTAACAAGGATCAAGACGATTCACCGGTCTCCTCCCGTGACGGTCAGATCATCGGCTCAGGATGGGGTGGGTGACTCTTCTCCGAAGGCATCAGCTRACACCCGCTCGGGCCCCGCGGCGGCCGCTCCACATCCTGCCGGCTCCAGCACTCCCTGTAGAGCCAAGAGAGTCCCAGAATTCCTAGATTCCCAGGTGCTTAACACTTTCAGTTAAAAAACAGTCTTTTGCTTTAAAAGGGACATGAGATTAGTGACACAATTGATGCATTTAGTGCAAGTCKGGTTGGACAGGAGGATTCCCACCGTGCCAGGTCTTCTGCTCCTTCTCTCTATACAGCAGCTGCCAGGCACGACGGCGTATAGATCTTCACTAATTCATCCCAAGCACAGTCCACCACCTACAATGCAGACAGAGACACATAGAGACTTTGAAAATGGAGCTTTGAGGGAAAAAAAAGAAAAAAAGGGAAAGAAACAGGGAGCTTATAAGGAATTCTCGGATTTGCAGAGATTAATGTTAGTTGGCACTCTCATTTACAATGCTTCAAAATTACGTAGCAATGCATATGTTTTAAATTGCTCCCTTCATTTCACTGAGGTGCACAGGAACYTCCATTTCCTACTGCCTGCCATGGGAGAAGGAGGAAAATCTCAGGGCTTCTGCTGCTTGTTCCATAGAGGCTAATACACAAAATAACCAAGATGGGGTGAGGGAAGGACACAAAATATCCCTGCGTTCACCTGTCTTCTCTTCATAGGGACGTGATGCTTTTTTTCTCCAGACTCTTTTACCCGTTGTGGCATTTAAACACATCACAATCAAATCAAACTTTCTTACACTTGCACAGTTAAGAGGAATTTATTATAAGCATTTTCCTAATGGAAAGATGAGGAAATGAGAAACAGCAGTCGTTTAAGCYGATGCAGCAAGTTTCTGGAAGAATTAAGGCTGAACTTTGGTACTGCACAGAGACCCCACGAGACGGCTGTGCTGCCTTCGGTCCAGAAGGAGAGATATCTGTTTGCCAGCAGGGACCTGAAGGCACCTGAGGGCTGGCAGGGCTGGCTTCGAGCACTGATCAGACTCCCCTAGCCCAGGGSGAGAGTGATGCCACTCGCTGCTACCGTGGCAGCTTACTAAAAGAGCAGCTGATTCCAGCATTACTGCACACTGCAAATCCCAAATCCTATTCTAGGTGCAGGTTCATACCTTAAATTGCACAAAGAAAAGAGCTAATCTTTGATAATAATCAACTGATTCTCCAGCATAAAAATATTTTAAGAAACAGTAAGACTCCATAAGAGTAGACTGCAAAATGYATTAGATTTGACAATGCACTTAAAAGTCTGTAGTAAATTAACAAGGGTTAACTGCACTGACTCAAATAGCCAAGCTCTAACCTATATTTACAGAACACTGGGGGACACAAAAGCTAAGGCAAAGGGAAGAAGAGAGAGAAGAACTAAAGAGACAATGTTGATGAGTCCCACATACACATGACAACAATCTGGATGAATTCATCTTGGAACAAGCATCTTGACAATGCCCCTTCCAGTTGGGATTGCACAAAAGCAGCAGCACACAACAAGCTACACAACAAGCATCCTTCTGCTTCACAGTGCAATTCCTGTTCTCTTCCAGAGCCAGAATGAACAGCTGCACACTAAAAATTTGGAAATCCAACTTCAATATTTGATTTCAGACTATAATTAGCCCATTTTGTGTTTACTATACCGCACTATTATTCATTTCTATTGCTTCCTTAGCTGGTTTTACTAAGTTATTTGAAGTACTTTCCATATACATCCAAATGGCCCCCAAATCTCTTGACAACATGTACTGTCTATTCACACAACATAATAGAGCGCTGCGTGATGTAACACTGCTGCATTGCAGTGCCCCCAAATCATTCAAGAACTAAAATATGAGTTCTCCAATGCACTCCGTGTAGAAACCAGTAATTACAAAACACCAAGTATTTTATACCCTCCACAGGTATAAAATGCCACTAGGCTCATTTTTTCTATAGGCAATACTTTCCACTTTCCTGCAGAAACAAGAAACACTGACAGTTGGAAAAAATCCCACGGGAATTCCCACCTGTTATCAGTTTAATTAGCCTCCTGAAGCAGGCTCCGAACAAATATAGTTACAGAACCATTTAATCTAGCAACGCCAGAATGAAATAGGGGTTATTCAAAGTGAGTTTGAAAAGGATCACACAGAATAATTTGCTCAACTCACTGGTTTTATGATAGCACATGAAAGATGAAAATACAACCACCTACCAGAAGGAAAACAAAGCTACACCAAATAAGACTCTATCAAATTTTGCTGTGGTGCTGGAAGTCTGTAACAGAAGACTGATATYAGAGACCTCGATGAAAACATGTATGCAGAGAAGGACAACTGGTGTTTATGGACAATGTGCCACCAGAGCAAGAAACAGCACTAGAACCAGAGCACCCCTGTGCTGGGATTGGCACAGACAAAAGGGCACCCCAGGCAGCAATTTATACAAATGCTTTCTCCCCAAAACCACAGAAATTGGGGTAGGAGGAAGGGGCCAGCTGCAAGCTGCGAGAGTGTCAGCCCACAGCAACTTACATACTGCTGTTAGAGACCACCTTGCAGCATCTACTACTGCCCAAAGCACACGGGACTCAGTCCCTGGATCACATCAGCAAAGGGGATGGTAAGCAGCTACTGCATAATCCAAAAAATACAATCACCTTAGGAAGGTGGATGTCACAGCGTAACTTAAATGAACAGCGATCTCATATTCTACTGAAGTGTTTGYCATTGTCCTAGATTATAATGATGCTTCCCCCTGATTTAATATCAATATCTGTTAATTTATCRAAGACATTTCCATTGACTCACTAACTTACTTACTCCTCTGACAGGCCCTCTGCTTCCTATTCATCACAAGGACCCTGCTTGGCAGTAGCCTTAGACCTTTTGCAGCACCCGAGGGCAATCCACTCAGTCCAGTGCAATTACCTGGACGATGCTCCATCTCCACTGCTCACAAGGAGCAAGAAAAGAAAACTTCCAAGATAGCAGCTGGGTTTTYTTTCCAATATCAGAAACTGTTAGAAAAGACCCACAGCCAAATAGTAATGAAAAATGTTCAAAAGAATAATCTAAAACTTCAAGTTCAGTAACTTCTCTATGAGGGTTTTAATCAAAAGAATGTGCAGTCCTCTTCAGATCAGCATATTCAGCCTTTCAGATCTATAGTGCCACTCAGCTCTGGAGGGCCCATAATAAATCACTGGAAAATACACAAATGGGGCTGACTGTGACTCCTTTCTCTTCTCAGCTTTCCTCCATCCCACTCCATTTTCACATACAAACTGGTAGGATCTGTCATTTTCCAGTAGCACAGATGCTGGAAGAAGTACTTAGCTCTTCCATAACACTGTTTCATTTTCCCTTCTAGTTTGTTTCCTGTACTTTTTCATACAGAATTAATGGCCTGTCATATTATTAAAACAGACTTTTGAATAGCCCTGTCCATTCTCTGTACGTGTATGTATATGTGTGTATGTAAATTTACTGCACGTAATGAAGACAGTTCTTAGATTTGCTACTCATTCAAATTACTTCCACAGATGCTCATTCCACATAAACATCTCCAGGCCAGCACAGAAAGTTTTGTCCTTAGTCCACATTCACACTCCACATACTAAAAAGAGGAAAGTAGAAGGCTCCTTAGCTGTCCTTTCTTTTGCTTAGGATCATTTTAAAAGACCGACCAAGTACAAGGCCTCCTTTCCCATGARAACTTGTTGGTTAAGTGTGCAATGGATCATCCATGTTTAAATGTAGTTTTCAATACCTATTTTGTGCTAGCTGCCCTTTCGCTTGGTCATCCTCTGCCAAGGATGAACTGCACCTGATTCCTACACAAGAAGGTAGGAATGAAAGTGACGGGAGTTTGTAAATGAAAACAGCTTTTATTTTCAATGTGCAATAGCCAAATACATATTTGAAAAACAAAACACAACACATTTAATTACTATTTGCAATAAAGAAAGAACAGTGCAAACTCAGGATCAGGAAATCCTGTAAAGATCTAGGTTAAAAATACACAGGTGTCAGAAACRGCTGTTCCAGACAGCACTTAAGAAATCCATTTCTTTCTTAAGGAGAGAGAGACGTGGGGAGGCATTCCTTTTCAGATGGCAAAGAGGTGCTATAAAGCATTGATTTGAAACAGCGGCTGTCTCATGAGCATAATAAAAATCAGCCACTTTTGAGATAAAAGACACACGACACTTGTTTGGCTGCTCCGACACGGGCAACGGGAAGCAGATCTGGTCGCCATGCTGCACTTCTCTAAATGAGAGTCTTGTGAATGTTTCAGAGTAAAATGTAAAGCAAGTGGAGCTGAGAGCTCCAGGTTACAGATTTTCTTGAGATTTCAATGATATTTGTGGCAATCCCTCTATGCTCCACAGATTCAGGGAAAGACACCTTCCCAGTCTTCCAAAACTGTTTTTTTTTTTTCCAGTAAAATGAACCAGGATTTGTGTAGAAGATACTCTGGAACTGCAAAGCATCTTTCTGTGCTGATACTCATTCAACCTTAAATATAGTTAGTTTACAATCTGTGGAACTGTTTTTCTAAGAACCCTACCCAATCTTCAAGTTCATCCTGTAGCTCAGAAGCAAATTAAGCTCCCTCCTTTTGAGACATAACCATAAATCACGATAAGCCAAATGTCATTCTCAATAACAGCTGCAAAACACTGCTGTCTTCAATTGAGTTTCACTGATGCAGTTCACTGGGAYTTACCAAACCTACTGATCATGAAGAAAAGAATTAAATCTACTATGCTAACTAGCAGACAAGGTTAATACTGAACGAAAAGCATTTTTAAACCACTAAAACAAATACAACACACATGGAAAACATTTATTAATGAACTGTTGCCTCTGTCTCTTCCCAGCATTTCAGAATCAACGTGCTTAATCACCCTTTCCTTTCAGTACATACTGATTCTGGATCTTTTAGAGAATTCATGTGGCGCCCAAGAGCAACATTTCCATTCACCATAGGATGAGACTTCCATTCATAATGGTGAAATACCCACGGATGGCCAGAACTCATGAAGAGCTGTGACTTATCCACCAAAAGTCTCACTTTAAATGTCTTGAAAGCACACACATTCAAGTGTCAGTAAGAAATGCCACCTCCCTTTGCCAAACTCCAATGGTGTTTGAATTGATGATAACATTTGCAGGAGATTAAATCTGATCTTTCCAAGCAAAAATTCACCCTGAAAATAAGAGAACAGATGTTGTGCAGTCTTCTGATCCTAAAGGATCACTAAGTGCATAATTTTAGTACCATCCTGGAGAAGGACCACAAGGAGAGATGAAAAAGGAGCACAGACAACAAAATAACGACAGCAAMGTGATAGCTGCAACAGCTCGGTAGAAACTACCTGGTCCTTGGCAATTCTGTGCAAAAAGACAAGCACAAGTGGGCAAAAGAGGGGATGCTGCTTTTCTGTACGTTTCCACAAGACATAACTCCGCTTTGACAAGGACAGTTAACTCKTCAGGACCACAGGAGGGGAGCACAACTAGCACGACTAAGTGAAGAGCAAAATACACAGCAAAGCAGTCCCCCCGAAGAGACGGTCTGCATTTATATCTGGCCGTGCAGGTTAGGGTGCTTAAAGCAGCCCTCTCCTGCTGTCTTTGCTGTGCTGGCACAGCTAGTGGGACGCTCTGCACGGGCCTAGCAGATGAGCAAAAATGACTCAGTCAGTGAAGCTGCAAGAATTTTCAACCASATTTCAGGTACCTTCAGGGAACACAGCCCAAGGGTGCACAGTTTGCCTATGGTATGCTTCCGCTTAATGAAAAATACCGGCTTTTAAAACTTCAGTGATCCTGATGCCCTAAGGAGGCTCCTGACGCCTTCCACAGGGCRGCACTTCCCAGGAGTGCACCTGGAGTACTGTGTGCAGTTCTGGGCTCCCCAGTATAGGAGGGACGTGGAGCTTCTSGAGAGGGTCCAGAGAAGGGCAACCAGGATGRTTAAGGGAATGGAACATCTCTCGTATGARGAGAGGCTGAGTGAGCTGGGMCTGTTTTCTCTGGAGAAGAGACRGCTCAGAGGGGATATGATTAATATGTATAAGTTCAGGAAGGGAGAATGCAGGGAGGAAGGGGACAGGCTGTTCTCACTGGTGGCCAGCGATAGGACRAGGGGTAATGGCCACAAGCTGAAGCACAAGAAGTTCCGTCTCCAGGTGAGGAGCAACTTCTTTACTGTGAGGGTGACAGAGCAGTGGAACAGGCTGCCCAGGGAGGTTGTGGAGTCTCCTTCTCTGGAGATCTTCCAAACCCGCCTGGATGCCGCCCTGTGCCCCGTGCTCTGGGTGTCCCTGCTGGAGCAGGGAGGGTGGAGTAGATGATCTCTAGAGGTCCCTTCCAACTGCCACCATTCTGTGATTCTGTGATATATATATTGGGAAGAGGAAAATATTTTAGGTAAATAGCCCTTGTTGGGATTTTTGAATCAAAGTAGAAGCGATGCAAAGGTTGCAAGGTCTCCAACTGGAGTCTTCAGCAGGTGGTCATGCTTTACCTTGTTGTTATAGCTTGATTCTAACGTGAGGTTTTTGATTTATTTTTTAAATAGAACATTTACAGTTTTCATTGCTGTGATATTTAAGCCTTGTAATACATTAAATCAGCTCCTTCGAAAACCCAGATGAATATTACTGTTGTTGCAGATTCCAGACTTCTGTCTAGGAGGCACACCTGCATGCACTATTTTGGATATGTACCTTAGATTTAGACAGCAGTATGCAGGAATTAAATCTAGCACAGCATTTGTAGATTTTTTTGTGTGTGGAAGGAAAGAAAAAAGTTAATGGATGCATGAATGCCCTAATGCAGGCAGGTATATACACTATCTCTTTCTTTCTTCCTTTCTTCCTTTCTGTTTCTTTCTTTTTCCCCCTAACATGCATTTGCCAATTCAGCTGTTTGCTTTGAATTCATTACCCATCATCAGTGTGTACATTTATTTAGCCTTTTTCCAAGAAAACCATCCCCTACACTGTGGTTACAAAGGAAGACAATATCCATTTAGCAGCAATTCTCACTCTGACAGATCTAYCACACAAAGAAGTCTTTCTTAGCCAGTCAGAAATAACATTCGCTGAGACCCATTTGTTATCACCCACAGCACAGAAAGTGCTCTTTTATAGCAGGATTAAAACTAAGGTGTAATCAGCTCCTCATTAAAAAGAAAGAAAAAAAAATCCTTCTTTCTGCCTTGTTCAGATCCATGGCAAAGTTCACACCAACTGCACAGAAAGCTTAACCGGGCTCAGAGCACGTTGTGAGGTAGCACTGCAATGTCCTAAACCACCACACTAYTCCTGCTGCTCATTCCAGCTGCTGCCCAGAAACCTGGGCTGAGGTTTCAATCCCTCAGCAATTGGTCTTCAAGATATTCTTGCCCTGCCCCAATGACAGGGATATTTTCCCAATAACTTGGGATATTTTTCAGCCTTACAAGTTCCCTTAGGTGGTTCTCAGCACGGCCTCATGAACAGCTCCTGCAGCATGCTGGAGGCAGCAGAAACAGRGGAAGGAGGCATCGGGCAGGTCAGGGCTTCTGCCAGCTGCTGCCATGCCAGGAATGTCTCCAAATGCACAGAGCTAAGTACGCTGCCAAACTGACACCTTCCTCCTGTGTCTTTTGATCAGTAGTGGAAATTAGTATGGTTTTATTTTCCTAGAATTCTAAATGTTTCATGTCATTTTTACTTCCAATAAAYATCACTATCAATTAGGCAGAATGTAGGTGAGAATGATACCTGTGGCACATTAAATACTTGATGGAGGTAATACAGAGACAGAAATTCATTTGTGAAAAATATGAGTCCCATTTTTAAAGCAAAATATTACCTTTATTTTTAGCTTCTTCATGCCTTTTTTTTCCTCTGAAAAAAGAAGTAATCTATCCCAGAAACAAAAACTCTTTGTTTATAAAAAAAACAAACAAACAAACAAACAAAAAAAAAAACACCACAGAAGCAAAGATAACTGGGTCCAAATCAAGAGAAGAGAATCCCACTCAAACCAGTACACAAATCAGTGTGCCCGGTCTGCTAAAATGGATTCTACCCATTCACATTAATAGCTGGAATTTTTATAATTCTAGTTAGATATTAAGTGTTTTCTTCTACTCCTGTTATCCGGACAACCAGGTCTAAGAACCAGGTGTGACACCGGCAATACTTAACTCACCCTTTTCAGTAGATGAAACAAAGCTCTGCATCTCAGCTAGGCACTTCAGACTCTTCTCTATTTTTCTTCCTTCCAAAACAAAACTGCCTCACTTTCCCCGTGTTCACCATGGCTCTCAACTGTCTGATTCTGCAATTCTGTCTCTCTTCTCCTCCTCTTCCTCCTCCCAACCAATATTTTATCAATAAATGTGGACCTACAATTTGGTTTACTCAGCCAGCTGACTCCCAGGGGCTTTCTGCAGTCCTGTGGCTCCTCTTCAGGATCCCTATAGCAGGCAAAGTAAATTCATCACCCCTCTTACCTGACCACAGTTGTGAAGGCTCAAATCTAGTCCACATGTAAATTCTGTATGATGCTCAACAGTTTCCAGCAAAGGGTTAGGCTTGGAAAAGTCCCAAAATCTAAAGAAACAGAGTGTGAGAAGGAAAGAGAGAGAAATCAAACAAACCACAATTAAAGTAATTGAAAGGCCATTCTTAAAACATAATGCAGAATATTGACAAATCTGCTGGTGCCAGGGTATTTTAAAAAGCAAACTCATCCATTGAAGAAATACAACTAATCAAATTCCTGCAAAGCCATCTGCTGATTTGCATAAATTAAATCTCACTGGGCAAAACCATCCTTTTATCCCTGAAAGCTGTTAGCACAGTTTATGGTTTTTTTTCTCACTTTTTGGTATCGTTCCGTATGACATGGTTGTTTACTGAAAATTTTCAGTTCATTTACAGATATTGGTCACTTCTGTTTTCAGATTTGAGACATGGCTTCAGTAAAACAAAATATACTGTTAGAATTTAATTATATGCTTTTATTACAAAACTCTGTTGCACTGTTAATTCCAATAATTTATATTTCAAAAATAATTTCTAAGTTCAATTGATATAAATGCTTGAAAAATAGATTTCTGAACTGCTGTATTTCTCCCTACTCCCCACGCAGATGCAATGTTCATTAGTGCAGTTAACAACAAGATAAATGGGTAAAATGCAAGATGAAAGTATAAGGTACAGGAAATCTCAATTATGAAATATGCACTTAGGAAAAGCASATTCAGGTATGTATACACTGACAAGATGCCACATTCTAATGAAAACACACAAAACCAAGATTTTATTTCTCATTTTGGTTGCACGGGGCAGCTTACTGAGCCTTGCACAGGCTGCAGAGCACATGGCATTTTGYGAGCGGGCAGATGTATTCACATCCTCTGCATTTCAGATCTTCTCACCATGGTCAATCAYGCTTTAGCTTTTCCGTACCAATCACACCATATCCTCTGGAGATCTCTTTGCCTTACTCCCAGTGAGGACAGTGAGAATAATTAATAAGAACTGTGTGTTATCAGACCAACTACATTGAAAAACACTGCATATTTAAAGAACCAATTGAGGTAAAACAGCAAACATGGAAGACAAAAGGGTTAGTTTGGTTAATGTGTAGATGTTATTTCCTTAATAAACRAGTGGGGTGATATCAGCACAACAGCCATGCCATAGCAACAATCCTCTTAACTTTTTCCTAGTACCCGAGATCGAAGATAAACAACTAACTTCCCAGCAGCAAAGAACAAGACCACCTCAGCACTTCCATCCTCACATGTCTGTTCATATAAAGAATATGATGGCAAGGAAACAAATGTTTTTATTAAAAAAAAAAAGAAAAAAACAACACCCTTCTTACTATATTAGCTCTCTGCTATCTCTTTTCAAAAGACAGATCTGCATAACTGAAAATTAAGATTAAAAGAGACAACACTTGATCTGTATGAATAGAACCTTAAAAAAAAAAAAAAAAAAAAAAAGACTTTGTGATCAATTTTTCAAACAGAACAAGGCAATTTGGGGTCTGTAGTTTAAAGCCAGGCTTGCATGAAGTCAGAAGCAGCACCTCAGTTCAAGCCCACATACAGTGCTGTGTCTGGAGCCTTTGCCTTGATTTACAAATGAAAGAACAAAAGGGGTTAGCAGCAGTTCAGACAGCAACTTACTGCAGTACGTAGTGAAAAAACATCATTTGCAGGTTACCTTCCAAACGCAGGAGACCCCACACTTGGCTTGCGGGGCATTTTGAGGGCGGGTGGCGCGGCGCTTCCCGGGGCAGCAGGGCGGCCCCAGGGCCCTCCCTGCACACGCCTGGGCTCGCACTGCTCCAGGGCCCCTACGTGTGGGGCAGCACGACCTGCCCCAGGGGCGAGACAGCCACTCTCACTGCACCCCACAGCAGGTCTGTACCCACGGGCAGCCACGGGCAGGTACCACGGTGGAACTGCACCCCAACCCTTGTCAACCACAGGGCCACCCTGTGCACAGTGACCCTGCAGACACCCAGGCACCCCAACAGTGACCATGCTGACACCCCACAACCTACTTCTGAGGGCATTTGCTTCAATGCTTTCTAGAGAAATCTGTCAAAATCAACCTAAGCTCGCATTTTCTTTCACTAGTGCAAACTCATTTTTCCTAACAGGTTATTATTGGTTTTCCATGTACTTCCCAAGCACTGTATAAGTTGCATGTACACTGTGAATGGACTGCTTATTCTTAACGAGATATTAAATGAAGAGCACAGGCCTGGCTTCCTGTGGGTCCTGTACTTTGTGCCTCCCCTCGCAATGCCACAGCGAGCCACCATCCTGCTCTGCCTCCTGCGTGCCCCTACCTCAGCCCTGCTGCCCACACCCAGCAGAGCTTCTCGTTCCCTTCTCGCAGCCGCGTCCTCCTCCCCAGCCTGCTCTCAGCCCCACACCTCCTAAGGCCACGGTGTGCACAAGGCAGCRCGTAGGGCTTCGTGCCCCAACGCACACCTCACACGTGGCGAACTCGCAGCCTCTTTAGTTAACACAGTGCTTTGGGGCTCTCCAGCACGTATTTGCATTACAGCTGTACAAGCTTGGGGAACTCAGACTACAATTTATCARACAGTTAAATTTTCAACAGGTCCCAGTGTTACTCAGGGAAAGGGAGAGATGGCAACACAAAGAATGCAGCTCCCTCAGCCTGCTTCCTTCAAGGGGGAAAGCAGAGTGTTCTGACAAATACTCAAGCAGGAAAGCTTTCCTCCTGCTTACAGGTTTCATAGAGTAGGTTTCTTCCTACACTGCATTTTTGAGGGGACACAAACCAGCTAATCCCATGCTGATTTCCATGCACACTCACGTGAACACTGACTCAAAGAGCAACACCAGCGCACGCGGGCAACCAAATGCAACATGGATCACAGCAGCTCACGTGGGTGCAGCTCATCAGAAAGTTTTCAAGAACAACCTGTAACTCAGGCTTAGCTCACGTCTATTCTACAGTTCCTGCTCCCATTTTCTAATCCCATGCAAAGCTSCCTTCCTTTGAAAGGACCAGTTGCTCCTGCAAACTCAAAGCTCTTCTTTTTGAGAACAACTTAGGGTCAAATCACTTCCTGAATACAGCCMAACTCAGGCTGTTACTTCAGGCCATAACTGGGGACATCCAATTACTTCCACAGTAATATCCTTAGGAGATGATGTCATTACAGGCTAATTTCACTAAAATCTCAACATTATGAGGTAGCTCAGGTATGGAGAAAAGCCTTTATTCAAAGTATCATCTCTCAGAAGCATCAAAGAGGAGGAATTGCTCGAGGGCCAAATCAGAAGGAAGAAGGTCCAAAAAATCAATTTTGAAATAGGTTTTGAGTTTGCTCCAACAGCACAGTTCTGCAAGGACTCAACTTAAGGACTTTAAAGCAATTATGGTTGCAATGCTAACTTCATATTTAGTTCACCTCCTACTTACTGTATGGAGAAAGAAAACATACCACTTTCACAAGTCCAGGACTCCACTCTAACAGAGCTGTCCTTACAGCACTGGCTTCTCTTACTACATGTTTGAGTTCATGTTATGACTATGAAATTCAGTGAAGACATTTTTCTACATGGTAAAGCAGCTGACTACAAGATATGTTTATTTCAATTCTTCAGCTACCATGCAGTATGGGATAACTTTTAAGAAAACTCATTCCTGGACTTAAATATCCCTTCTGCTTTTGACGATTTTCGAATTCACAAGACTTAACAGTATCTTTATTCCCTTCCAAATAGAGTTTTAAGTATAATTCTCCTCTGCAGCGTACTTAAAACCAGTATATSTGAGAAAGTACTGTATTATGATTGCACTAAGGTACCAGCCAAAGATCCTAAACTGGAAACAGGGTGTCCTGAAAACAGAGTACTCTAACAAAACAACGATGTTCTTCATCACTGAAAACTTCAGTCTGACTTGAGAAATGCAAGAGAGAAACTCCATTAAAGTCATTTACTCCATGAGTAAATGACTTCTCTAGGACTTTTAGCTTCAAGCCAGTACAAGGAGCAGTCCAAGAYGCAGAATCACGTGTTACTGTAATCTCGAGGGGACAAAGTTATGCACCCCCATGAGCTGGTTGCTGTACAATATTAACAGCCTTCTGGGCAATTATATATAATGACAGCTTCATTGCTGCTGATACACAATAATTTAATGGCAGTTAGGAAAGCCAAAATTATTCTGCTTACTCTTCCATTCCCTATTTTCTCCCCAATCTATGAATTAAATAAAAGAGGCTGCCAAACCTTACCTTGCAGACCTACATGGTCTTATCAGAGCTTCTAGTTTTTTTCATTTCTCCATGCCTTAGGAACCCAGTTCCGGCTTGAAGCTTCAAGTCACCTCTCTGACTCAAGCCCTACTCTTCATCAAACCCTGGAAGAGGCACATTGGCTAAATATGGTAAGCTGAATGACTAAGAAATACAAAAATGGGTGTCACTGGCACACAAAATGCTATAGGTATGTGAACTTCCTCTCAGTACTTCTGTTTCCACATGCAGCCATAAAAACACTAGCTCTATCTTGCACAAAGACCAAATTTCACAGAGAAAGATTCACATATATTCACATGACAAGTTGAAAAATAGCAGCTACAAAAGCAAAAAGAGATTATTTGGAAGCAAAAAAAAAAAAAAGATGCACTTCCTGTAAGTAAATTAATCACATACTGCCACAAGTGAATCTTCACTGTTTGTAAGTATTAATTACTAATATTTAATAATGCATAGAGAAACAGACCTCTTTAGTAACAGAAATCAAGAAAAAAAAAAGCATATACCACATTATTATATTCTTCAACAATGTTATCTTAGAATCATGGAATCATTATGGTTGGAAAAGACTTTCAAGATCATCGATTCCAATCGTAAACTCTTCAATATTGCTACTCAGCACCAGAAGTTTTGCTTTCATAAGTGAAAGACGCTGTTTCATGGCTGATCCCATAGATGAAAAATCTGTTTATGAGGTTGAAYTATTTGGTAAATATCTTCTACAGCCAACACTTTCCTAATTTTAAGAGAAATTCCATCTCATAATACTTATTTCAGAAAAAAGGGG